ATACAGTGACTGCCAGCTCTCCCCTCCAGTTTTGGAGGGCTGGGTGTCCCTTTCCTTCCCCAGCACCAGCCTGTGGGTGGGGTGTTGTTATCCACGTGCATCACCTCAAAGCCAGCTGGGGAAAAAAATACTGGTGATACACAGGTTCTGGTGACCTTACCTGTGGATTTGCCATGGGTAGTAGGTGTGACTGTGCCACCAGTTCTTTGGCTGCAATGTGAGGAGCTCCAAAACACACAGTGACACTTGCTGCTGTGTCATGCTGTTTGGTTTGCCCTGCAGCTGAGGGTGCAGGGGTCCTGCACTCCCCCTCCCAGCACCCCCATCCCCATCTAGTTCTTAGTTGTTTGCAGAGGCTTAGTGCTGACCTTGCTTCAGTGTGAGCTCCAATGTCTCTGCCAACAGGGAGAACAGGGGCTTTTCATTATAATTCAGCTAAAAAGCCTACTGGAATAGGGATAAGACAGAACCAATCTTCAGATTATTTAAGCTTTGCTTACGACTGTCTGCTGCTGCACATTCCCAACTACGTTTTCGTCCTCACTTAGCCAATATAAAAATAAGGGCAACAATATTCCCACCAAAACCAAGGGAGTGGAGACAGTAAATAGCCCTGGGAGCACTTTTGAATATTTATCTATATTCTTCAGGGTGGAATGTATATGCAAGTTTTATGTTACCTTCCTTTGACTTTCTGCATAATGCCATTATACATTAGTCTAGTTAGCATAAAGATTAGCAGCGTATTAAAGAAATAATCCAGTCCTGAGGGCACAATAGTAAAATAAGTAGCTTAAAATTTTGTTAATAGTCACATCAGGCTTACAAAACAACTTCTTCCCACTCCCCACTGTTTTCCAGATACCCCCAACAGGTCCATGTCCTTTGAATTAGCCATCCTTAGCTCATTCCTGGGCTCAGGAGCCTCCATTTCACCTGTCTTTATACGGGCTGTGTGTGAACCCTGCCAGCCTTCAAACAGCAACTGATCTACTCCAATCAGAAGCAAGAAACTCCAGTTGCCATAATCCATTCCACAGCATGTCCCCTCGAGCCCATGCCTTTGTTCCTTTATGTGTCCCTCAGCCAGGAGTGCATCAGTGCCTAGGACTAATGCTACACTACATCACGCCTCTGTTCTTCCCTTACCCCTGGAGACCTGTTTGACAGATTGGAGTTGCTACAGATCATCACCCAGAGCTTGATTTAGCCACTGTCATGACCGGCAAGACTTGAACAAATCTTTTGAAATGAGGAAAATGTGTGCCAGATGGGAATCCTGACAGTATCGCTGGAGCAGCACTCTCCAGATGAGAGCACTCGGAGGAACATGTCCCATTGGCACAGGTCTGTTTATCTCTGCCTGGGCCAGCTGGTCCTGCCTGGAGCTCTTCAGCTGTATTTCCCACTTGTTTTTCCCTGATGATGGTATTCACTCTGCTGGATTTAAAGTTGATTGGTCAGCACCACAGAGAGCGAGCTCACCTCATTCTGCCCCAGTTTCAGACAATTTTGTCAACCTCAGAGCAGAGTTTCTGCACAGCTGGGCTTCTCAGTTTTACACTTTGTGTGCATCTCTGAGCTTCAGCACAGCACCTGCTTAGCACGTCCTCACACGAGGGGCAGACGGTGCCATTTGCCACTGTTAACTCCTGCACTCTGGATTCCTGCACACTGAGTACAGCCAGCAGGTTTCTCATAATCATCTTGGACATCTGCAGAGAGAAAAGCTTTATCCTGGTAACAGTGGCAAAGGCCAAGGGTCGCTTTCAACATGACAGGTAAGAGCCACTTCAGCCATTCATCAGCCAAAGGTCACCTGCCGACTGACAGCACAGGAAACAGCATCAGTGTTCCTGTACCTGCACCTGCACAGCCATGTGCCCCCAGTGCTGCAGATGAAAGAGTGACACAGCTTTAGGAGCCAAACCCTAGGCAGAAATCATCTTAGTGGCCATAGTTTAAGCTTCACGTTTCAGCAAGGCTTGGCTCTTCTCTGAATTGATGTAGCTAAAAACGTCCAATACCACCACCTCAGCAAGTTCAGCAATATCCTTGGCCACACTGCTAACTCACACCATGAAACGCTCTGTCCAAGTTTGTGCTGCCCTCAGCAGCCAGAGCTCTGATTTGGCAGAAAAAATTGGTGAGTTGCGCTAACGAGCAGCGTGGTCGTCGGTCAGCGTTATTTTAGACTAAATCTCGAATTCCCCCTTTACCTCCCCTCCCCTACAGAGGGATTTCTGGCCTGAAAGTGTTCTTTTCACATGGGTCCTGCCATAACACCCCACCTCAAAGGAGGCAGCAGCGAGTGCTCTGCAGCAGCAGCTGTCGGTTGCCAGCGGAACCTGCCTAGGGACTAACTCAACCCAGAAGGAGAAACACTGCTCTCCCTGGCTGCCTGCCAGCCAGGTAACCCAGCTGTTCCTTTGGGACAGCTGTCAAAACAGGAGCCTGCCCAAGCCCTCCCTCCCCATCAGAACTGGTGACACTGCAGCCACCATTAACAGGCTTTGATTTCCTCGGCACGCGTTGCCTCCTCACCAGGCAGCGCTCTGCTTGCATCATGGAAGTAACTCAAGAAGGGATTTACTGGGATCGACACAGGCTCTTTCTCAAGGCTTCACTGCCAGTCTGAGCTGCACCCATGCAGTGCCAAGGAAACACTTAAAAAACAGAGAGCTTTTAAATTCTATAAAGTTTTAAATGTGTAGAAAGAAGACAATGCATTAGCAGTTTATTCTGCAACAGGAGATAGGGACGGCCAGGCTAATCAGGGCTGTCCTGTGACAACTCTAAGTCCCTATCAAAGGCAACCAGAAGCCAAGAGAAAAGATTTTTAAAATCTTGTCATGGCTGCTATATGTAAGCCAACCACTAAAAAAGTAGCCCTCAAAACCTATGGCTTTTGCCAAAGACTGCCCTTCCAAAAAACTCCTGTTCCCATCTTTTCATGTTGCCAAATCTCTGAAGAAAGGGATAGGGTGGAAAATTTGCTTGTTATAGAAGCACAGACCTAAACCCAACCTTGCCCTGCACTCAAAGGCTCCCTCCCCCTCAGCCAGCCATAAACCCACACCCAGTCACCAGGAATCCCTCGGGAACTGAGAGGGATCCTGCTGCTGGCAGTGCAGCAGAAGTGGTGCAAAGTGCAGGAAATCTTGGCACATCACTGCCCAAACTGCACAACTCTGCCTTGGTGCCTCACAGGGAACCTGATCTGAGAGACTTGTAGCAATTATTCCTGCTAATGGCAGAATTCTGATTCTTGACAGGATCTTGACTTTCTCAGGCTTTATTCTGCCAGGTAATGACATATCACAGAAAGAAGCATTTCCTTTATCACACACAAGACCTCCTGCCTTCCACTGACTGTCAATTCTTCCCCTGCTCACTCGCCTGTCCACCTCCCTTGATACTGCTTAAGCAATCAGGATGTCTGACCTGCACTACCTGTAACCTTTCTTTATTTCATATCCAGGCTCCCTTTCTAGAGCGCTGCTGGAGAATCAACAACAAAGCTGAACAAGACAAGACAAAGAAGACTGTCAGATAATAGGGAAATAATAATAAAAAACCTTGGAGATGCTACATGTGCTTCTAACACATGAAAGGTAATGCATGAAAAGATGCAATCACCCGGAACACAGAGGAAAATCCAGTGCAAGAGGAGCTCACAGTGCCACTGCCAGACTGGTTTTACCAAGGGCATCTCTCTTTAAAGACAAGACACAGGAGGTGCAGGAGGAGCAATGAAGGTATAGGAGAGAGTGCAAACAACTAGAAAAACCTTGAAGGGAACAGAACCTGTATTGTCTTCAGCAAAGGCAGAACCATGAACCTGGCTGAAAATCAAGTGCCAGACACCTGTGCCAAGCAGTGACACCTCACATACTCTGCCCTCCGAGCAGCTCGGCCGGCAGGGCAGGCAGGAGGAGCGACTCTCCTGTTTCAGGCAGCCCAGTTCCCAGCAAACCCTCACGCCGAGCCGGAAGAGCCTTCGCTCATTCCCACGGCGGAGAATCCCCTTTTCCCCGCGTCCCCGCCCGGCACTCACTGGAAAGCCATGGCTCCCGCCTCCAGGGTGCATCTCGTCGGGGACTGCTCGTTCAGCTTGCGGAAGAGCTGCTTCGCCTGGCTCTGGTACTGCTGCAGGTCGCGGCCTGACTGAGGAGGGAGGGCAGGGAGGGACGGGCTGTTGGGGCGGCCGAGACCGGAGAGACACCGGGAGGGTGCTGCGGGGGCTCCGCCCGACAGCACCGCGGCGGCTCTCCCCTCCCACCCACCACCGCCACCGCCACCACCGCCTCCGGGAAACGCCTGTGCCGCAGCCGCCCCACTGCGAGAAGGGGCCGCGCCGGTCCCGCCGGGCCGCGCCCTTCACCGACCAGCCGGCCCCGCTCCCCCGCTCCCCCCGCCGGCCGCACCTGCTCGTCCTCCTGCATGGAGGCGGCCAGAGGGAGCCCGTCCGCCACGCGGGCGATCATCGTGAGCAGCACCATGGCCGCGCCCGCCGCCCGCCCTGCCACGGAGCCGCCGGAAACGCGCACCGCCGCTTCCGACACGCGCCCGCCGCTTCCGCCCGCACGGGGGGCGGAGCCACGGACACGGCAATGGACACGCCCCCTCCGTGATGGCCACGCCTCCTCCTCGATGGCCACGCCCCTAAGAGGTGACCGAGCCCCATAATCGCGGGCGCGGCCCCATCGGCGTGGCCACGCCCCCTTCGCATTGGCCACGCCCTTTTCGCTCTGGCCGCGCCCTTCGCGCTGGCCACGCCTCACCGCAATAGACACGCCCTCTTTGTGCTGGCCGCGCCCCCTCGTCCTAGACACGCCTCCTCAGGTCAGGTCACGCGCCTCACCCGCCACGCCCCTCCCCGCCCAGGAGAACCGCCCATACACAGGCCACGCCCATCATCGGTAGCCCCGCCCGCGTTCCCGCCCCCTTTGCGGCCGGCCCCGCCCCCTGTGACGCGTGCCCCCCGCGGGCGGGGCGGGGCGGCCCGGTGGGCGCGCGCCAGGCCGGCGGGCACAGCCATGGCGGCGGCGGCCGAGCGGGGCCGCCTCAGCTTCCCCGGCGGCGCCGGGGCCCTGGGGCGGCCCGTGCCTATGAACCTCTTCGCCACGTGGGAGATCGATGGCTCCAGCCCCAGCTGCGTCCCCAGGTAACGGGCGGACCGAGTGGGCGAGAGGGCGGACACCGCCACCCCTCCCCGGGTCTCCGCGGCTGCCTCCTCAGCCCCCTTCTCCCGTCACCTTCTCGCAGTTTCAGGGTCCCTTCCCGCCGCCTCAGCCGTGCCGCAGTGACGGGCACGGCTCCCGCCGCCCCTGCCGTGGGGTTTTGGGGTGGGTGTGGGAGTGCAGGGACCCCGCGGCCCTAGGAAGGCTGGGAGGGCTGCAGCTGTGCCTGTGTCAGGTGCGTGAGGGGCTCACCCTCTCAGCGAGTGCCCCCTCTGCCCAGACCCTGCCGTGTGTGCCGGTGGCAGGGCTGGGGCTGCCTCCCCGAGCTCCGTCGTCCCCGCGGGTGTCCCGTTAACGGCGCCTTTGCGGGGAAATGCTCCGCGGGGATGGGCTCGGGGCGGGCATCCCTTTCTCTAGGACCGGTTGTCCGCCCTCTCCCGGTCTGGGCTCCTTCCCCGCCTCTGGTGTGTGTAAACACGCGGCCGTGGTCCCTGCCCGCGCTGGTTTTAGCCCGCATGGGAGGCATTCCTCTCAGCTTTTATAGAATTTGCGGTTTTCGAGCCTGGCTCTAACAGAAAGCCTTTGAGAATTCAAACGTGCCGGAGACAAATCTCCGGAACGCTCCTCTTTATCTTTTGTTTTGTTTCAAATGAGGACGCAGCAAGCGAGCAGAAAGGGAACAGAGTCATCGGGCTGACCTGGCAGGACTGTAAAGCTTTGCAAGCTTTACAAACCCCCAAAATCCCTCTGTCTTCTGCGCCATCCAGATAGCAGGTTGGGCTTGGTGGCCGTGCCCCTGTCTTACAGGGATTAGTAACTATCTTAACATAAACATTGCCCACAGCCGTAGTGCTTTGGCATCGTGGGCAGGAAGATAACAGTGGGGTAGAGGAAAATCTGAGTCCTGCAGTTGCAGATGATCTTGGTTTATAACAGCTTGTCTGTGCTAACAGTGCTTTGGGGCAGCAACTTTCTCTGCCTGTGTATTTCTTTCGTGCAACGGGAGGTCTTGGAAAGGGACTGGCACCGAGGGGAATGTGCCCCTCTTCAAGGAGTCCCTTTGCTATGGAAGTTACTTGCCTATATGGGAGTAGCTGCGGGAGCAGTTGGTGCTTTTTGATTTTTTGCACTAGACTAGAAGGTGTCCCTGACCATGGAATTAAATCTTTAAGTCCCTTTCAACCCAAACCATTCTGTGATTCTATAGTTCCAGTGTGATTGGCGTTGTCCCTGTTGTACAGAGGACACAGAGGGCTCTTGTAACGCTGCTCTGAAAACTGTTCTCTCCATTGCACCCTCGACTGCAGGAAGGCAGTTGGGTTTCCATCTCATCCAACCTCATAACAATGGCTGTTAGACAAATTAAAAAACAAATGTCTGTCACTGTCAAGGACTTTTCATTCTGCATTATCATTTATGCTGATACTTGCAGATCTGAAAACGAGCTCACAACACAGCTTGCTTGTTTGCAAATCTGTAGATGACCAGAAAATGCAGTGTAAGGACACTGACCCTGCCTTGATGTGGTAGGGGGTGGGGTGCACAGGATGGCAATTAGGGTGGGGTCCTGGGTGCTTGAGTCGTGGTGGGCAGCAGGTTGGAGTCAGATGGTTGAAGTGCCTGGAGGAATCTGAGGAATGCAAAGGACAGGTGGATATCTGGGCAAGTGGGGCAGAACTCCGGCTTGGGGGGAACATCTGGAGTTGCTGAAGCAAGCTGTGAAGCAGGCGACGGTGAAAGTGCTCAGGTTGCCTAGGCTGAGGCACTGATGGAAGAGCTGGGGCATTTGGGATCTTCTAGGAACAGAGCTTTTGTATGAGGGAGTTTGTAGCGGTGGGTCCCTCTGCTCTCAGCCCTGTTGTTGCCATCACCTTTGCTTGCTGTTCCTGGGTGCCCTTTTCCTTAGAGCCTGGGGGGATAAGCAGACATCCAGCTGCTGCGTCTGCTGCTGCCACAAATGAGCCTGTCTTTCCATGGATGTGGAGTTTTGTGCTGGAAGTGCCCCACATGGGCTGGGCACACATGCAAGGGTTGTGTATGTGGTGCAGTGTGTGGCAGATCTGCAGCTGTAGCTGTGGGTGCCAAGTGTTTTTTGTTAACCTGAGGCGAGGTCAGGCGCAGCTGAGGTTGCAGGTTCGGTGGAGATGTTGGTTCCATGGCACAGTGAGGTGTGTGCTGGGCAAACACCAAATTCTGTAGCAGTTCCCAGTCAATGCTGCTGTTTCTAATCACTTAACATCATGCCTTGTGACGCTGCTTTGGGTCCATGTTTTGCATTTCCTTACAGGCTTTGCAACAGACCTCTCTGTTAGAGAAGGCAGGAGTTTGAAAACCTTGAAGTTATACCACTGCCTCTGCATTTTAAGTTGGAATTGTAATGATTTTCCCTATGGCACAATGACTTTTAAGATTCTTTATCTTAAAGCGAGAGATGCTGGGATGACAACTCCTGCATGGGAAACTATATCCCAGATGAGCTTGTTGTCCAAGCAGATGTCTGTTGGGACGTGAGAGGCGGATGTGGATGAAAGTGGGCCTTGGTGTGTGGTCAAATACCGTGGAACTGCCTTGGTCTCTTCTGAGATTTCCACCAAGTTCCCCTCTGGGTTTCTGTTGGCAGAACAGGCTTTCCCAGTAGAGAAGAGGTTTGAACTTGGCCCAAAGCCAAAGGATTCATGGCTGAGGAGTGTGTGTTTTGAGGAGGGAATATTGTTTCCTTCCTCCTTCTTTTTGGTACAGTGAATCTCACTCCATTTCTAAGGTGTTTCTCCTACAGTAAGCTCTGGAGCAGGAGGGGCTGGGTGAAAGCGGTGCCTGGAGTGGTCTGTGCCTGTGTTTCCCTAAGCTGTGTGGGTGGGTGTTGAGGTGGAGGGCCTCATGTGGATGTGTGCATGCTTCCCAGATGATGGCTGGGAGCTGGACTGTGGGAGGGACATCTCAAAAGCAGTGCTATTGAACGCGCTCTTCTTCGGTGGTTGATTTACTGAAAGTCCATGCAGCTTGGGTGGGGTGTCAGCAAAATCTGGAAGGCTGCCTTGGTGCCTCCATGGAGTTTGCTTGTGTGAAAAGGCTCTGTTTAAGCTTAAGGAAGAATAATAGCGAAGAGTCATGGTATTGTCCTATAGTTCTGTGTTTGGAGTGAAACATGAGGTGAGGTGTTTTGCTCTTGTGTTGCTCTCCTTTCTCTTCTGCCATTTGCTGAAATGATTTTCTGATTTCTGTCTTCACTTCTGAGGGTTTTGACCATAGTGCTTCTGAAATGCAACTTTCTTTTAGTCATCCCAGAAATGTGACTCAAAATGTCTCACTATCTGGGCGTATCCACTGCATACCAGAAGGGAGAGATGCCTACCTTTTCCTGCTGTTCCTTTCTTCTGTACATTGAAATATTTTCCTTTGAGGAAGGTTACACTTACATAAAGCTCTCCTTACCACCTGTTAAAAGTGAGAGTGATCTTCTTGCAGCATGGCTGTGAGAGAATCAACACTTTTTTCGCCCCTCATTTTCCTCATCCTGAAAAGTATGTGGATTTTGGTAGTGTTTCTTTTTACTTTCCAGGTTTTTTTTAATGAAGCTGTGGGTGTTGAATGGCAGGGTGCAGTACTGTCCCATCCTGAAGGAGCCTCATGAGGAGACAGCACCATGGGGAGGCTGTCTAGAGGAAGAGGGGTCTTGGGGGGAAAAGTTTTGTTGGAATGGTCTACTGGAGCAAGAGGAAGCAGAGTGGGTTCCCATTCAGAGTAGGTTTTGATTGAGGCTATTGCCTTAATTGTCACAAACCTGTAAAAGTTCCTGCTAAGCTTTGAACTGTGAAGTGAATTTTGGCGTACTGCAACCAAACTGGATGTGGAGCAGGTGTGACCTGGTGTCCCTTGAGGATACAAAGGAAAAAACCTGTGGAACAGACCTGTGAAAAGACAGTGCTGGAGATCTGAGGTTGTTGACTGGGCACTGCCTGAGCATTTCACATGTTGGCTCACCTCTGTGGTTTACCTACTGTGTAAGGAAACATGACAGGAATCCGTGCACGTGCCCTGCACTCGAACAGGAGGTTGGTGGTGCAGGGATGTGATGGCTCAGTGTGCTGTGACGTGGCCATGCAGCACTCAGACAGTCACACCAACCAGCCCTGGTACAGACATCCCCAGGGGCGATGGAAAGTGATTAGGGTGAGACTTTGGATTCACAGCAGCTGAGTGGATCCTAACAGTTTGCCCATGCCCCAGGCCGTGTGCTCTTCTCTCTCTGCCAGCTCCCATCTTCTTCCACTGATCTACCTGTGTGACCAGGAGGGACACAGTGAGGACTGCTGGGGCATGGAGCCACTCCAGCAGTCTGCAGGTTTGAACCCCTGCATGGTAATTATCCTTCTGCTAGCAAAGTGTGGAAGGGTTCTGACCTGGGTGAAGTCCACGGCTGACTCTTCTCTATGAGTATTTGATGCAAATTCACCCCTTGGTGTGAAGGATGCATGCCTGCACTGGGAATGGGAGTTTGTTTTGGCCAGGGAGAGCATGTTCTGTCCTGGCTTGAGCAATGGCAGCTATGCACCATATCAGCAGAGAAAGGTGGACAACTTGCTAGAGTAATAATTGTGTTCAGGTGATGCTGCATAATTAAAAACATTGATTAATTCGGGTAGGGAGAGATGTTAATTTAAATGTATCTTAACCTCCTATTCCATCGAGAGAACTCTTGTTTGTTAGGATAACTACTGGCACATTCATTGGGAGCTGAAAGTAGATTTTCGGCGCATTTGGAACTGGGAAAATGTCTAATTACTCAGATGACTAGGTACGTTTCAGAAGTGCTTATTTGGAGGCTTTGTTTTGACTTTGTTTGAATAGCATGAAATGCCTAACGTTTTACCACGGAAGGAAATTGAATACAAATGAGGGCACAGGATAGGCTTTAAAAATATCACCAAAGCGATGCTGAATGTGTGAGATGCATGAGGAAAAACATCCACAACTGAGCAACGGA